ACCTACTTAATAAGTGGAACTATCAGATATTTGTTTTAGCCTAAGGAAGCCATGAAATATTACTGAAACACTAAGGGTGGTATGAATGAAAAAAGTTCAGGACCAACAGCCTACATTGTTGTGGCTCATATTGAGTTCCCAAAAAGTAGAGATATTTAAAGAGATGCTTAAAAAATCATTGAGATGATACCAAAGAGTCTGCCTTTAATGTCTGATAACTGGATCTGTTACTTCCAACATCCCTTCCCACTGAAATTCAATGATATGAAATGAAGCAGACATCCAAGAGGATGAAAGAAGGGCAAGAGAAACTAGATGCCTATCTCAATGAACAGGATAGGGGTCTACTGCTATGGTTCCAGAAAAAGAAACTGGATACATAAAGGGCTTGCCTCTCAAATTCTCATACCTTCCAATCTCATTTTATTCTTTCTATCAAACAGATATGCCAGATTGGCCTTTCCTCCAAGTTGTTAAGGTCAAAAGGCCCAACAACTCTCATTTTCATAGAGTTCCACATGCAGAAATGTGCAAGTTATAGTCACTGATGCATCAAAAAGAATCCAAAGCACTTCTACCTTTCACATCTGTACTATGAAGAAAAAGTCCAAGTCTGGGAGTACCCAAGTATTCTCAAGTCTTACTTATTAAAAGCAAAATGCCAGGCTGAATATGCAATAGAAGTTACACAAATAGCACTTTTAAACAAAGTATGATTGTTTTGCATAGTCCACAGAGGAGAGGCATAAAATAAACATCCACATTTACAAGATTCATCATGACAACAAGATGGTGCAGTGGCGCATGCCTGTAATCCCAGTGGCTCAGGAAGCTGAGGCAGACGGATTGTGAGTTCACAGCCAGCCTCAGCAAAAGTGAGGTGCTAAGTAAGTCAGTGAGACTCTTAAATAAGATACAAAATAGGGCTGGGGATGTGGCTCAGTGGTCAAGAGCCCCTGAGTTCAATCCCTGGTAGCCCCTCTCAAAAATGAAAAGGGCCTCTGCATTATTCTAGAGTTACTGAATCATTTTTCCTCCAACACACTTATGTCTACATTTTATTTAATGTCTGTTTAATTCACTGTTATGTTCCTAGAATATGATTGATTGATCAACCCATAGATCTATAGTGGGCAGAGGAACACCCCTTGGTCATTTGCTACAGTTAATCCCTTCTCTCTAATGCCTTCATTCCTAATAGAGAAATCTGGGTAGAAAAAGATAAAATATCTAATAATTTATATTTAGTAAGACACTTCAGTCATGACAAATATACCCATGCAGGAAACATACATTTGTAAAATGAGAAGAGGTGATTCTTGAACACTTTTAAAAATTTATTTTTTAAAACACAGAAACAGAACAAAAAAAAAAAAACATAAAAAGGCACAGAAACTCTTTCTTCAAAGAAAATCTTACAGAGATACGATATAATATATAACAGTGAAAAACAGCTGCTTTAGCTGGAGCACAGTGACACACACCTGTAATCCCAGCTACTCAGAAGGCTGAGCTGGAAGGATTAGAAATTCAAGGTCAGCCTTGATGACTTAGTGAGACCCTGTCTCAAAATAAAAAATACAAAGGTGTAGGAAGATATCTCAGTGGTAAAGCCCCAACACTACAAAAAAAAAGCAGCTGTTTTAGCTGGGGTACGGTGTGGCACATGCCTGTGATTCAGAAGAGTGAGGTAGGAGAAAAATTTAAGGCCAGGCTCTGCAACTTAATATGAGACCCTGTCTCAAAATAAAAAATAAAAGGGGCTTGGGGATACAGCTCAGTTGGTTGAGTGCTTGCCTCGAATGCACAAAGCCTTGGATTCAATCCCCAGCACCACACACACACACACACACACACACACACACACTCACACCAAAAAAAAGGGGGGAGGGGGGCTTGAGATGTAGATCAGTAGTAGAGCACTTGCCAAGCATGTACAAGGCCCTGAGTTTAATCCCCAGTACTGGAAAAATAAATAATTCAACAAAAATAAAAATAAAAAAACAAATGCTTTGGTTAAAGCAAGAGAAAGAAACTCAAGATCTTGCAACCTTAGCTTTACCCTTTCCTGGGGACTCTTAGGGTACTGAAAAGCAGTCTGAAAATGTGGGTCTAATATATCTCAAAGTCTTGACCAAATCTAACATTAAATAGATCTATCACTGGGATACAGCTCAGTGGTGTATACACTAACTCAGTGGTAGAGCACTAACCTAACATGTGCAAGGTCCTGGGTTCGAGCCCAGCATTATAAATAAATAAATAAATAAAATGTAAAATGCTACCAAAATGTACCTAGCTAGTTTACAGATCTGGATTTATAATAGGTCAAATTATGTTTCATATGGAAAGACTGATCTATGTCAATGCATAATTTTCTTAGGAGAATGCTAAGGTCAGAAAGCCAAACTTTCCTAATCTTCCAGTCTCACGCAATAAGGAGTAGACATTAGTTTCTATGAAAACCAGAAATGGGGCCAGGCACAGTGGTACACAACTGTAATCCCAGCAGCTCAAGAGGCTGAGTCAAGAGGATGGCAAGTTCAAGGCCAGCCTCAGAATTTAGCGAGAACCTGTAACTTAGCCAGACTCTGTCTTAAAATAAAAAGGGCTGGGAATGTAGATCTGTTGTTAAGTGCTCCTAGGTTCAATCCATGGTACTAAAAACAAACAAACAAACAAAAAAAAACAAATATCCAAACCAAAGAGAAAATTTAAACTAGTTTTCTATGCAAATCTTTATTTTACAAGATTGTATTTAATAGTAGGGAGATTAGAGCAACCATTTTTTAGTGTTAAAAGACCCTACTTAGTGAAGGCAGACATCACTCTTTGTTTGAGGTTTTTTATTTTGTTTTGTTATGGTTTTTTTGTTTTGTTTTGTTTTTGAGAAGGAGGTCTTACTATGTTGCCCAAGATGCTCTTGAATTTGGGAACTCAAGTGATCCTCTTGCCTCAACCTCTTGAATAGCTGGGATTACAGGCAGGAATCATGATCATATGTCACTGCCACCATATTCAACCAAGGTATACATCATTAAAAATAATTCTCTTTGAGGAAGGAAATGCAAATGGAAGCAAAATTAATATGATAACTATCCTCTTCTGGATATTAGCTGACACTCCAGCCCTATGCTAATAAGGTCTGCAAATAAATGTCAAGAGTCACATCTATCATATGCACAGCAACAAGTTAGAAAGTTATCATCATCTGAACATAAATGAAAACATGAGGCTGGATTCTAGTTTTTTCTTACTCTCCAAAGTTGGGAAAAAGAAGTAGTGCATGCCTATAATCCCAGCTACTCAGGAGGTTGAGGTGGGAGGATCGTGAGTTTGAGGCTAACTTGAGCAACACAATGAGACCCCCATCTCAAAAAAAAAAAAAAGACAAAAATGAAAAAACAAAAAAACAGTGTGACTTAGCAACATACATTTCATTTTCTCATTAAAGCAGAAACACAAAAGTCACAAACATCCTCTTAAAACATACAAACTTTAAAAACACATTTTCAGGGACTGGGGTTGTAGCTCAGTGGTAGAGAACTTGCCTTCTATGTGTGAGGCCCTGGGTTCAATCCTCAGCACCATATAAAAATAAATAAAAGATACTGTGTCCACTTACAACTAAAAAATACTAAAAAACAAACACACACATTTTCAGTCAAACCTAGAAAATTAACCCTCCTTCTACTAGATCAAAAACTAAAAGAAAAATTTCAAATCCAGTAATATCAGAGACTAGTACTAGTTCAAATAAATTCTAGCTCATTCTGTGGACTAACACTCCCCCTTAAACAGAGAGCACTCCAACTCCTCACTGCATGAACATGACCCAAAGAAAAGAAAGAGGAGGGCTGGGGATGTAGTCAGTGGTAAAGTGCTCTCCTGGCATGTGAGAGGCCTAAGTTCAATCCCCAGCATCAGAAAAAAAAAAAAAAAGGACCCTTAAGTTTATAAGAATGTACTTTTACTTTTTCTCTGCATAACTTCAGCCTGTGCTTATGAAAGTTAGCTACCCATTTACATTCAAATCATTATATCAGTAGTCTCTGAAACACAAGAATAGGATGCCTCTTCTATAGCATTTTTTTTCTCCCTGTAGCAGTTTTTATGATCAACTATAGCTCTGTATAACTCAGAGAGGATGAAGGAAGAAAGGGGGGAGGAGAAAAGGAGGAGGTAAGAGGCAAAGCAGTGCTAAAGAAAGAAGGAATAAATACAATGTTATGATTGATCAGAAGGAGATAAGTTACCAACAATAACTATTCACCAGTAAATGGCTAAAAATTAATCCCTTAAGAACTGGCTTCTTGACAATAAAATGCATTAAACAAAAAAGACAAATTTGCCACTTCTTGGAATTATCACTTTTAGGTATAGCTCACTTCCCACCTATACTACACTTTATTGTTCCCTCCTGAAGCTTTCTTTCAATAGTGTTGGGGGTTGAACCCAGGGTCTAATGCATGTTGGGAAAGCACTCTTATTACTGAGTTACATCCCCAGCCCCACTCCTGATTCTTGGTGAACATAATCAATAGTAAGGAACTTCATATCCTCTAAAGTAAAAACACTTTGTTTTTGTGGGAAAATTACACTTAAATGCTATGCTAAAGACCACTTATTACACTCAAATCTGTGTAAACCCACCTTCTTTTAGACAATGACAAAAAGAAAGCAAGAAAGATTAGAATATAGATAAGAGAAAATATTTTAGGTTAATTCCTGTGAATTCAGGTAGTATTGTTAATCAAAATATGCTTAGTAGAAAAGTCAAAACATTCAGTTATACAGTTTTAAGTTTACTCATTGCAAAATAGGTTTTCAATATAAAAGAGAAAACCCAACATTAAATGCCAAAATCAGTACTTAATGGTTCAACATCTACAACATCACAATGCTGATGCTTGTATTCAGCATTCCTACAAAGCTCTAAGAGGTCTGAAAGGGAGACCCTATAGCAGATCTCTTCTTTCTACATTTTACACATTATGTACCTCCAAAGCCAAGGCTGTCTTGTCGTAGGCATTAGGGACTCGCTTCTGGATAACCCTGGCATAAATGGGCCCATTCTGGAGGTTAGGGAGCGGAGTGTTGACGCTGGGTTGGGCATAGGGCCCGGGCTCCGGCCCACCCAGTGGCTGTGGGTGGGAACCCTCCTGGTTACCTCCAATCAGAGCAGATACTGAGGCGGCGGAGGCAGGTCTATACTTCTCCACGTAAGGGACTGGAATCATCCCCCTCTTGCCTTCGCTGTCCTCGGCATTCCACCACTGCTCTTCAGGTTTATCCCGGATTCTCAAGATGTCTCCTTTCTTAAAGGGAAGATCTTCTTCATCATTCCCATTAAAGTCAAAGAGGGCTCGCACATACTCTGCCTCCTCCTGCCTGAGAATCACTCCACTACCCTGCCTGGATCTGGAAACTGGTTCTATCAATGTTGTAGTGTCCAAATAGTGAATTTTGTAGAATTCCAGTAAAGCAGGCAATGAATCAAACTCTTGATCTCCTATTCGGAGTCTGGAGGGGCTCACCCCTGGAAAAAACAGAGCAGAGTGTTATTTAAAGATGTACTATATTGAAGATGAAATGAAGATTTTAAGCATTTCTCACACACACTTTAGTCAACATTTAATCAGCAGAAAAACTGTCTTTAAAAAAATAATATCTTCTCACAAAAAACCAACATCATACACTGAAGATGAAATATCCTGTGAAAATAAGATGTCCAGCACCACTGGCCTCATAGGATGCCAGGACAGACCAGGCCAGTTGGGCTTGCTCTCATACTAGATCAGACAGTCAATGTGGAATATTTTTGTTCATTCTCTCAATATATTCTGTTGATACCCCAGTAAAGGTTCTATAAATTTTGCTGCAATCTTTTTCCCTTCTTCTGTCCCAGGAGCGCTTTATCACTAAGCTACATCCCTAAACCTTTTTATTCTTTGAGATAGGGTCTCTTTAAAATACTTAGGACCTAAGTTGCTGAGGCTGGCCTTGAACTTGTGATCCTCCTGCCTCAGCCTCCCAAGGTGGGGAAACCATGCCCAGCTTTTTGCAATTTTCTATTCAACTTAAGAAAATATAGCAGGCTCTTCTTTTCAGAAAGAAGTAGTGAGAGTTTGTAATCTACATTGAGCTCATACATTTATTTATTCTCTTCACATCTAGAATGTTTAATTCCAAAAAAAGAAAAATCTTAGAATGCTGACCACAATTTCATCTCTGAAAGCTAAAACAAAATTAATTAGGAAAAGCTAAAAAAACTAAGTTGGCTGCTTAAAAATCAACTCCTAAGATCTTCACTTAAATAAAACATGGAAACCACATTTCTCCCTGTGAAGCAAACAGGTCATGAAGATAAACAAGGATGATTGGGAAAATAAGCATTAAAATATTCAACCTCTGGGAGCATACTGAGGATCCAAACAAAGGACATATGAGGAATGCTTCTATTCTGAGATTCTAAAATTCAAATATAATAAATGAAGACATATCACTCCAAAGAGTTTCCTATGCTTTTATATTTTTCTGGTACTAGGGACTGAACACAGGACTGTTTTACCACTGAGTTACATCCCCAGTCCTTTTTCTGCTTTATAAGGCCTCCCTAAATTGCCAAGGCTCGCCTCCAACTTGGATCCTCTTGCCTTATCCTCCCAATCAGCTGTGATTACAGGTGTCCCACCCATTTCTTTTACAAACTCTTTCTTACTGGATGTGGTACACACTCTGCTAAGCACCCAAAATAACAAATTATCTTCATTGAATATTTTTTTACCTTTTGGTTTCTTGATAAATAGGTCTATAGAAATCTGAGCTTTTTAAAAAATTTTAGTTAATTAGTTTCTTTTTTTTTTTTTTTTTACTAGCAGACAGACCTGTACCTTTATTTATTTATTTTTAAAGAAAGAGACAGAGAGAATTTTAATATTTATTTTTTAGTTTTCGGTGGACACAACATCTTTGTTTGTATGTGGTGCTGAGGATCCAACCCAGGCCGCAGGCCGCACACATGCCAGGCAGGCGCGCTACCACTTGAGCCACATCCCCAACCCACCTTTATTTTTATGTGGTGCCCAGAATAGAACCCAGTGCCTCACATGTACTAGGCAAGCGCTACAACACCAGCCCAGAAATCTAGCTTTGTGGCAGGGGTAGAGGAGAATCTTTTTTTTTTTTTTTTTTACTAAGTCTTAATCCTGCCACAGGACCACTGAGCATTTTAGGTTATAACCCACCAGATTTTTTAGTATATATAAAGCACATACATATTTGAAAGTATTTTTAATTGAGTTATTATATGTAATTTTATACCTTGCCTTTTTTTCCTATTATACTTCAAGAACATGACTGGGTATGTACTGAGATTAGAGCCCAGGGCCTTGGGCATGCTATGCATGAGCTTTAATGCTAAGATACACACCATGAGCTACATGGCTCCAAGAACATGACTGTTATTTTTATGGTGCTGCAGACCAAACCCAGGGCCTTACACATGCTAGATAAGAGCTCTAACAATGAGCTTTCCCGCCAAGAAAAATACTTTTATTTAAAAAATGACACTGTGAATTGAACCCAGGGGCGCTCTACAATCAAACTACATCCGCAGCCCTTTTTACTTTTTGAGGCAGGGCCTCATGAAATTTTCTAGGCTGACCTCAAACACATGATCCTTCTACCTCTGCCTCCCAAAGTCACTGGGATTATAGGCATGTACCATCACACCTGGCTCAAAACGAAGCGCTTTCCACTGAGCTACATTCCCAGCCCATTTTCTGTTTTATTTGTTGCTGAGGGTCTTGTGAAATTGCTGAGACTGGCCTTGAATTTATGATCCTTTTGCCTCAGCCTCTTGAGTGGCTGGAGATTATAGGCAAATGCCCCTACACCAGCTAAGAACATAATGTGTGGGAGAAAAAGGGGAATTCTGGGGAATAAACCCTGGGGTGCCCTACCACCCAATTACAACCCCACTCCTTGTTTTTAAATTTGAGACAGTCTTGCTAAATTGTCAGACTGACTTTGAACCTGTGATCCTTCTGCTTCAGTTTCCCAAATTGCTGACATTACAGGATTGCACCAACATGCTCAGCTATAAGAACATGATTGTTAATGGCCATAAAGTATTCCTAAATTTTCACTAAGATAAACAATGCTGTTATGAGTGTTTTTGTTCTCATCTATTAACAAACTTTTTTATTTCCTTAGGATAAATTCCTAGAATGCAATTTTGGATCAAAGGGCAAGCCTTCCAAGAAGTTTGTGCAAGTTTACACTCCCCCACCACCACCCCATATTCTTGTCAAACAGTATTTTATTTTTTTGAGGTATTGGAGATTGAATCCAGGGCACCTCACATGCTAGACAAGCATTCTACCATTAAGCAATATCCTCAGCCCCCCTCCCCTTTTAAATTTTGAGACAGGAATTCACTAAATCACCTAGGTTGGTAGTTAATAATTTGGATTTGGAATGCATGTACCCCAAAGGTTCATCTGTTGGAAGACCTGATTCCCAATGCAGCAATGTTCTGAGGTGCGACTTTTGGGAAATAACTGGATCACAAGGGTTCTAACCCCATCAATGGATTCATGGCTCTAATCCCCACTGATGGCTTCATAGCTGATTGGACTACTGGGATACGTTTAAATTGTAGGAGGTGGGACCTATTGTAAGGCTATAAATCCTGGGGGTGTGCCCTTGGGGATTGTCTTGTCCTTAACCCTTTCCTCTTTTTCTGCTCCTAGCTGCCAGGAGGTAAACAGCCTTCCTCTACCATGATGTTCTGCTTTGCCTTAGGTCCAAAGCAATGCAGCTAAGTGACCATGGACCGAAACCATGAGCCAAAATAACTTTCTTCAATTATGTTGATTTTTCTCAGGTATTTTGTCACAGAACAGAAAGCTGATTAACATGTGGGTTTGAATTTATAATCCTCCTGCCACAGCTTCCCAAGTAACTGGGATTAAAGGTGTATGCCACTATAACCAACTCAAAACAGTATTTTAAAAACCATCATTAAATAAGGTGTATCACTTTTGGCCATTTGATGTTTTTCATATTTACTGACCCTTTGTACCACTATGGTAGGATAGTGGCTGATCTCCAATCCTAATAACTCTCCATTAGTATAAACAAAATGGCTCTGTCCTACCCAGCTAAAAGCCAAGCTGAATGAGCCTTCTCCTTAACATCATGAAAGTTGAAAGACCAAGACACATTTAAAGCTGCATGTTTTTATATTGCAAACAGGCTATCTGTAATCTTCATGGTTACAAGCTGAAACTGGTTAATAGACCAAATGCAGGATTGCTGGCTGTCTTTCCAATTTAAGACACTAAAAGAAATGCCCAAAGCAAGTAACATCCATCTATGGCAAACACTCAACTCAGCAGAATGTGACCCTAATAGCTGTCAGTTCAGGATAGAGAGATGATTCTGGTTATGAATGTAACAGAGTGTGGCAGTGTTATATTCTCTTCACTGAGTTGGAATTGTTCCTATTCAATCTGATGGGCAAAGAGATGCATGACCACCTTCTGTATTACCACTAGCCTAATTTAGGATGATCTTTCAGGCCTACAGAATAACTGTTAAGGCCAGGGTCACTGTGAGCATAGAGATCTACTCAGCGCTCCCTGGTCAAGAAAGCTCCAGGACATGAGAATTACAAGTTCAAGGCCAGCCTCAGGAACTTAGCAAGACCATGTTTCCAAATAAAAAATTTTAAAAAGGTCATGCATGGTGGCACATGACTGAAATCCTGGAGATTCAGGAGGTTGAGGCAGGAAGACTGCAAGTTCAACGCCAGCCTCAGCAACTGAGCAAAGCTTTAAGCAATTTATCACAGCCCTGTCTCAAAATAAAGAGGGTTGGGGATGGGGCTCAGTGTAAAGCACCCTGGGTTCAATCCCTGGTACCAAAAAATAAGAATATAAAATTAAAAAAGAACTGGGGATGTGGCTAGTGGTAATGCACCCTTAGGTTTAATCCCAAGTATCAAAGAAAGCTCCAGGGCAGAGTGGTAAGGAGTCTGTCTACATCACAACCTGTAGAGCATCTATGGCTCAGAAATTGGTCCTGATCACACATTTGGGGAGAAAAGCTTCCTTACTAAAGTTTACTCAACTACAGGTCAAAATGGTTTTTACTAGTTGCTCTTTTGGAATAGAGGCTGGCAGAAATTAAGTGTTCACTTAAGTGTTTCGTTTAACTTTTTCTTTTTTGAGGATTCTCATTGGGTTACCAAGGCTGGTCTTGAATTCCTGGATTCAAGCAATCCTTCCACTTCAGCCTCCCCAATATTGGGGCTACAAGCACACACCTACTTAACTGGCATTACATATTATCACTATTATTTATTGTACTGGGGTTTAAACCCTGGGGTGTTTCGTCACTGAGCTATATCCTCAGCTCCCCTCCTTTTTTAAAAGAATCTTTTTTTTTTTAAGTTGTAGATGGACACATACCTTCATTTTGTTTATTTACTTTTCTTATGTGGTGCTGAGGATCTAACCCAGTACCTCATTC